ATAGAAGCCACATACATGTATATAATTTTATACTTTCTAGTAGCCACATTAAAGGAAAAAAAAAAATTAAAGACAGGTAAAGTTAATTTTAATGATATATTTTAATTATCTCAGTATAAACAACAAAAAAGCCCCACTGTCTTACAGTTGAATCCAACTCATAGTGACCCTGTGTAGGGTTTCCGAGGTTGTAAGTCCTTTGTCAGAGTAGACTGCCTCGTCTTTCTCCCAAGGACCAGTTTGCAGCCCAGGGTTTATCCTACAGTGCTACTGGGGCTCCTTTGTCACAGTATTCTTGTGTAAAATATAATTTTCACGTGTAATCAATACAAAAATTATTCATGACAAATTTTCTTTGATTTCTTTTTTGGTATCAAGTCATTGAAATCCAGTGTGTACTGTACACTTACAGCCCATCTCAATTCTGACGAATTCAATTAGGCACGTTTCAAATGCTAAATAGCCACACATGACTAGTGATAAATTCACTGGGCAAAAAGACGTTTTAAAGAATGAAGTATGGTGCTTGTAACACGGTCACCCTTTTTCCATGAGACGTGTTGGAGATTTTAAGTTATTGTCATATACAACTTTAATAATTAGGTCATTCACTGATTATTAGTATTATTTTTATTCTGACAATATGCTTTTAAATTAGTATCATGGGCACTGATTACTGCCTCGTAGGAAACTAATGTTCTCTTTTTTCCCCAATCTGTAAAATGGAATTGACATTGACTTAAAATATACAAACAAAGAAACAACAAAAAACCAAACAGGTAACCATTTGAGGGCTGTGTGTCAACTTACATGTACTTATTATATTGTTTAATTCTCAAAACAATTCTCTGGTGTAGTTATTATTTACATGTTGTCTAGGAGGAATCTGAGCCTTGTTGTTGTTGTGTTTAGTGCCGTCCAGTCCAGTCAGTTTCAACTCACAACAACCCTGTATAGAGTTTCCAAGGAGCGGCTGGTGGATTTGAATTACTGACTTTGCAATTCAAACTGACCTTGAGGTCCAGTGCTTGTCCTACAGCGCCACATCAGGACTCCATGACAGGGCCAATAAATTGTCACACAGTTAAGGCGTGACAGTGCTGAGATTTGAGGCTAGGGCTGCCTGTCTTGAGAGCCTGTGTTATAACCACATCTAAGCATCTTCCCTTGGCCTCCGTTCTCTGGGCTGTTGTGGCAAAGAGCAGGCAGTGACTATGGTTAACTTTTCATAAATATACACAGTTCTTCAGAAATAATGTAATAATGAAAATGACAATTTGAGCATCATAACTAATGATAGTTGGGAAATTACGTTTTTCTAGTGTATTTCCTTAGCAGTTCAAAACTACCAGCTGCTTCGCGGGAGAAAGATGAGGCTTTCTGCTCCAGTAAAGATTTACAGCCTTGGAAACCCTGTATAGGGTCGCTATGAGTCGTAACCGACTCCATGGCACATGACAACAACAACAAGTGTGTTTCCATGTTTATTTTGCCTCTTTGACAACAGATTTTTGCCATTTATCCCAATTACCACAGCAACCCTTAATTTTTAGCAAATGGCTGATGCCATGTGCCTGTCCTCTGGATGAAACAACCTGCTTACCTGCTGTAATTGTAAAAGGCTTAGCAAGGCTTATAATTGAAAGGTTCAAAGTTCTGTACTTGATCATCTGGAAATGGGTCTGTGTCATAATAAAAAAATAATAATGCCATAAGCTTTAGATATAGGACCAGAACCAGAGGTGAGGTGGGTTTTATATTTTTGTTTGGTTTTTGCTTTTGTCTTCTTTTGATTTTTCTTGATTATAAATGAATTTTTTAATACATGCATTTTCTTTTTATATTGCTTTTCTTTTTAGGGACCTTTTTAAAAATTCTTCTCATTCTTAATTTATGTTGTAAACATGCTCTGTATCTTTCCATCCCTTGTCACCTTTTCTTTTTCTTTTTCTTTGGGGAGACTATGATAAGGCCGAATTTCCCCTTTTTTGTATAAATTTGTACTCATCCTTTTATAATGTGCCTTTCCAAGGGATTTTCTGTTTTCAAAGACTTTTTTTAAAACCAATCCTTTTATTTTCTTTTTCTCCACACTTGTCCTCAAATTTGGTAGTTTTCATTTCTCTCATCATTGTCTCTAGTGATTGTGTGTATTTTTCCTGCTTCCCTTGGATTTTTATAAAAGTTTCATTATAGAAGCCATAATCATTTAGATGAAATTCTGATAAATGATAAATTTTGCTAGATGTTAAAAATTACCTGTTCCTGATAGTCTTCAGTATCTCCTTTTTATGCCCTTCATAGAAAATGCTTTTATCACACATGTGTGTTTACTGTTTGTTTTATAAATGACCTCAAAGTCCCTTTTTTCCTTTTTTAGGTAGGTAATGCCTATGAGAAGTGGGCTGTTGATTTTTGAGTGTATGATGCTATTGATACTATGTCAAATAACTAGTGCTACTGAACTAAAATGTCTTGGACCTATTTCTGTAATTGCCATTTTTCAAATATGAGCCCCTACATGTAGAACTCCTGTACTTCATTGTTGTATTCTTACAGCTAGTTCACCAAACTTTTAATATTTTCCCAAAATTAATAGTGTCTTGAGTGTTTTCAGCTCGTCATAGACTTGGGGGATTTATGGTTCCTAAGTAACAGACACCCTGTACAGGGTCGCTATGGGTCGGAACCGACTCGATGGCACTTAACAACAACAACAACAAGTAACAGACACACGATAGATTATGCAGCAACAGGATTCATGTAAAGGTCTTATCTGTGATTCCCAGATGTGCGACACTCAGATATTGACATTTAGAAACTGCATATGGATTTTTAGCATTGAAACGTGTGTACACACAGGTATTAGTGGTGAAATCATGTATGGTACCACTGACTACATGGTACTATGTGTGCATGTGCTTAAATTATTAAAAATAGAAACTAACTTGCCTCGTTGGACAAATATCATATGTAAGAATTAAAAGGTCTAAATGGGGCTGAGTCTCTGCTAGTAAACAGTCTTATGAATGAGTCTTACATAAAATGCCATCATGCTTGCTTAGCAAGAGTTTTCAACATCTTCAACTGCATCGAGGGCAAAAACTGTATGAGACTTGTCTCGCTTATATCCTTAAGCTAGGGGTGATACCCGGCACACAGTAGGGTTTAGTAAGGAGTTGTCAAATAAATTAATGATGGCAGAGATAATTTAGAGGAAATTATTTTATGCTATTTTGTATGATCACATTCCTTTGCATATAGTTGGGCATAAAACTGAGTATAAATGCATAAGCATTTGATATAACAGTGCTGGTTGCAATTTAAAACATTTTTATAAACAAGCTTCAGTTTCATCTTTTTTTAACATGATTGGTGTGTTCTACTCTGATTGCATGCCCCCATCCCTGCCCCCCCCCCGCCTTTGCTATGGACAATAATACTGCTTTGTTGTTCTCAAGAATTTAATCAATAGTTGTCCCAGGTATGGTGTGACTTCTTAGACTTTTGTGCAGTCTTAATAATAATTACCATTATCTTTAATGATAACAATTCTTAATGAGTGTTATTATTGTTAATAATGGTTATATTTAATAATTGCACCCAATACTTATTATCTTTAATAATAATAATTAGCACATGGGAACCAGTTGCACCATTGTATTATCTTTAGAACAAAACTCTACATCTGTGACCCAGTAGTTTTCAGAATGTCGGCTCCCACCCTGTGCTTTTCAGATCAGAGTGAGTCAGGAGGCTTCTAGGGTCAGGCTGACAGGGGAGGGGCCTCTGCAAAACTCACTGCCCTGCCTGCTGTGTCAGAGGCTCTCAGCAGTGAGCTTGTCTTTTGCTTGTAAAGTGCCTTTGCCATGGACAGCAAAACCACCATCTCTTCAACTCACCACCCGCTCATCCACCCTTCATAACTTTTTCTTTTTCTTGTATGACCTAGGACAGGTCCTCATTCCATAGCAAACTTACTTGTGTGGATTACGTAGGGCAGAGTCCTGTTTATCACTTGTATGTTGGTAACACTTTGATCTTCTGCCTTGACTATATTTAGATTTAAATGACTATGACTTTTAAAAAATAAATAATAAAAAAAAAAACAGTTTAAAAAATCTTTGACAAATTAAACATTTTTTTAGCTTTTCACACTTCGATACAAAGCAGAGAAATATTTCGGTGACAACAGATTTCAACAGATTTTCAATTAGACTAATTTGCTTTATTCTTTAGGATAGTTTACTTCTTTTCTGTGAAAACAGAAGAAGAAACTGGTGTTAATAGATAAAATGATAATTAAAAAAAAACAACATAGTTTCATATTTAGATGCACATTTTGGTATAAGTTGAATTTAAGTTAAGACTTTCACCAGCAGGGGAGTTTTTCAGGTTAATTCATGACCAAATTACCAGGATTTAAAAAATAAATAAATTTTAAAAAGATACAAAAGAGACTTCTTTTACATTCCTTTTGACTTGCTTGTATATATTCATGTAACAGCTTAGGCCCTGAAATCAAATTGCTTCTCTAGTTGGTTATCTTATAAGTGGCAGTTTTGAAGTGCATGTCTAGATTCATTTTAAAAAATCAGATTTGATTTGAACGTAGGAATGTTGATTAATAGTAAATGATAAAACTATAGCCACCAATGATACAAGGCTGTGGAAGGAAGGTCACCTTGACCTCTCCCATACACCAGCTATGAATTTGAGATCTCTCAGTCCAGACACCCCTGACGGGTGCATTCCACTTTTTAATGACTGGACCCTGAGGGTTTCTGTGGTGCCCTGGGCAATCCTGCTGCAGTCTGATAGTGATAATGGAGGGGGGAAATCCACTACTTCCCATTATGTCCCTAGACAAGAGGCTTGTTTAATCGAAAGCACTGGATCACAGATGAGTGACTTTGATAATTGTCTCTCCCCTTCTCATTATGGTGACTGAGACTTGCTTTGTAATGTTTGTGTTTTGCTCTTGAATTTTGTTCCTCCAGGTTTGATGATTCCTGTCTTTTGTGTGGTGGAACAGTTGGACAACTCGCTTGAATATGACAACAGAGAAGAACATGCTGAGTTTGTCCTGGTTCGAAAAGATGTGCTTTTTAGCCAGCTGGTGGAGACTGCGCTCCTGGCCCTGGGGTATTCCCACAGCTCAGCAGCACAGGCACAAGGTATTAATGCGTCTCCCCTCTTCTCCCATTGCCTCTTTCGTGTTGTAGTTTGAGGAAGAGCATGTTCCCTGAAATAATTCTTCAATAAAAGTTGAAGATGAATGGTCAGATTTAGCATCTTTCCCAAACTACAGACAGCAGAATGTTTCTTACAGAGTCTTGTCCTGTTGCTTTGGGAAGCATTTGACCAGCTTCCTAAAACTTCCCAAATCCACTTGCATTTCAAAGTGATTGTCATTCAGAAACCTAGGTTAGGTTACTTTCTTCAAGTCTGCAAATTGGTGTATCAGAGCTAGTGGTAAGATGTTTGACTCCTAACATATCTAAAGTATTATACATGAACTTTCAGAATTCTGCTTTTAAAATTTGTTTATTGTTTTGGGTCTGTGGCATCTGTACCTTATCATTAGCTTTTAATTTAATGGGAAAAAAGAAAAAGGATTCATCTTACCCTTTTGTACCTTTGAAAACCATTCTGCAGTTTTGATGTAGTCCATTCTTTAAAAACAATACAAAACAAAACAGAACACAGGGAGTGTCTTTGTGATCAATCATTTTACCTATTTAATTAAATATTAAAATATTATCAATTATTTCAGCATGTGTCATACAACTCTGGGGAGCCCATTGTGAGCTTGTGTTGCTTCATTATGAAGCATAGGCTATTGTTCTTTTATTATCAAAGAATTAATAAGACAAAAACAACAACAACAAAACCCCAAAACCGTGAAGAATGGAGGAAAATTTTCTGATCCACTGGAATGATTGTATTTGTGTTTCAGCTGAAGTAATTAAATTGCATAGTTTTTGAGTATAGCTATACCAAAGGAGAAAATTTTGTAGCATCCAGGTCTTGGGGTTTAAAAGTTTTTATTATGATGTTAATTTCCTATATTAGTATCTTTACTTCACATTTGTGTATGTGCCAAGGATTTTGCTATCTTTTTAATGAGTCCATCTTTTTACTATTCCTAAGAACTGTCAGTTGTAGTTTCATTGATTCTGATAAGCAAACTATGAGTGATTAAGCAATTTATGTGAAGTTGTAACCATAGTGGCAAGGTTTAAATTGCCACATAGGGTTTAAATTCCCAAACTCTTGACTCTGGTTCTGTAAGTAGACTGTGTTTTTTTAGAAAATGTTTTAATTAAGTAGTGCCATTTTATCTTAGTTCTACCAATAAAGCACCTCATTTCAAACCAGGGGTCAAGACTGTTTTCTCAGGGCAGGTAGTGCCCCACTGATAATTATGAATCCAATTATAGTCTGAATCCAAGAGCTTCACCAGTTTGGGTGAATCCTGGAGTCTGCTGCTTTCAAAAAAGCGTGATGATAAAGGCTGATTCATTTTCTTTTTGCAGTGACTTTTCTCCTTGTTTGAGGGATTCAGGACTTGATCCTAAACAAATTGCATCCTGGGCACCAATGCTTTTATTTCATTACACTTACACTATATGCCTATATGAAATGAAAGAAGCCCCTCTCTCTCCCCCCCATAAACTTTTCATGCCATTTTAGGGATATTTTTCTCTGAATGTAAAGGTCATTGTATCCCACTGCTTGCATCCTGGTGTGCCAGCTTCCTGTTTGACAGGGCTATCCATCTCAGTTAGCATGGCTGTTCAACGTGTCGTGAGCTAACATGTGGAACACAGAGCACTAAGTGGCTAAGATTTGATTCTTGGCACATAGTGAGGGAAGGGGCGGGGGTCTCAGGAAATTTGCACTGGGGAGTCACACTGTTTCATTCAGTGATGTGGACTGAGAGCCCTACTCACCAAGGTAAGATGTACTCGCAGTAAATCTAGTCTATGATGGAGGATAAAGCAGGACTATCGAAAGCCCTCAAAGTTTTGGAAATCTAAAGTTAAAGACTAAACATTACAATTTTAAAAAATTGAATCCATGCTCTAAAGGTGCTCTAGATTACAGAAATACTTTATTTTGTAAGTAAGCAAAGACTTTTTCATTGGCTCTTGTACTGTCATCTCACAGAGGGAGAAAAAAAAATCAGGTTATTCTGCTTTAAATTAGGCTCCTTGTCTCTACTTTAAGTAAATGGATAAACTTTGGATTGGTTATTTGGACATCAATGTACTTGGTCCCCCTCCCCCCTTCAGGTCATTAAAAGTATGCAGCTTGTTGCATGTTTACTACAGGCCAAGCAGCACACATGATGAGAGGTCTTTCGTGTGCTGGGGTGATGCCGGGCAGTAGAATGATGGAAAGGAAGGCACAGTATGATATGGCTGCATATTGGATACATGAGGTCTTCCTGTGTACAGTTTGCTTAGTTGTTTAGTGTTTAGGTGATTTCCACATCAGAGAGAAGCCATTGAGGGGCTTCCTGGCGAATCCACTTGCAACAGAAAAACTGCAATGTTCCTGAATCTCTCTTATGCTGCGAAAGTTGAGCAGTGCTGGATTGCAAAGGTAGCAGATTGCTGGAGTCTGTTTTAAAAATTGAACTCTTGAAATATGGTTTTTCGTTTTGATGTGACCAGAAAAGAGTTTTAATAATTGGATTGGGAGAGTATTTTAGATTGCCTGTAAAAGAGGAAATATATTTGTGGGGCCATGACTTGCGAGTGAGTAGTGCTCAGTTCCTAAGGAAACAAGATAGCAGATCCGTGCTCTTGTGTGTGTGTGGGGGGAGTCATTTTCTGTTTCTTAGAGGGTATTCCTTCCAGGTGAATTGAAGACATTTTATTAAGAAAGGACATTTGCTTCTAAAGGATGATAGAAATTCTATTAAAAGGGAGTTCAGGGATTTTTCCCCCCCTCCCTTTTGTAGATGATAGCGTGCTTTATTTCAAGAGTAGATATCAGGGGCCAGGAGGTAATAAGAAAATCAGGGCACTGTGGCATATTATGGGCTCTATGCTTCCAGCTAAGCCCACCACATGCAGGGCTTTCTGTAGTTCTCAAAGCTAGGAGATGCAGGATTCATCTGACCTGCTGTTTTGCTTATGTAAAAACCAGAAAGGTAGCAGGCTCTTTGCTTTTCTAAGAATAGGTAGTCTCAGGTGGAATGAGCAGCAAGTATGGTTTACACTGTACCTACCTGGGAGTGGAGTCCTGGTGTGGTGCTGCAGGGTAATGCGCTGGACTGCAAGGTCAGTTTACACTGCAAGTTCAGTGGTTCAAACCCACCAGCCACTCCTCAGAAACCCTATACAGGGTTGCTATGGCTCAGAACCAATTACACGACACTTAACAACAACACCAACAGCAAAATAGCCTACCTGTCCAGATCTTTGAACTCAAAGTCTCCAGTCTTTAGAAAGAGGAGTATTAACCTAGGGTTCTGTTGCTACTGGAGTAGCATCAAAGCCCTCCCCACTTAAACTCACTGCTTCTTTTCTTCTTTTCCATCCTTTTAATTCTGCTCCTTAAGCTTTTAGTAATACCCATAAACTATCCTGGACTCCTGCTGTGGTGCTGTAGGATCAGCACTGGACTGCTAACCACAAGGTCAGTGGTTCACACCCACCAGCTGCTTCTCAGAAACCCTATACAGGGTCACTAGGAGTCAGAACCGACGTGATAGCACATACAACAACAACAATTGCCCTATACTCTCCACAGTGTTCTTTAGCTCATGATGACAGAGCTATTTGTACTTGCCAGCATGCAGAGTGGGTTTTGATATAGTGCAATGATGGCAAAGATGATTCCTTGCTATCTTCATTTGACTTAATTTGTGAGTGGACACTTTATCACTTTCTTGCTTTCTGTCATTTAAAATAAACTGGAGAATTTATTTTGACTGGAAAAACAAACAGGCTGACCAATAAATAAGCAAAAATGCTTCCTGACTGGGTATTTTTTTATATAAAGGTTGTCGGTACAAGTGGAGAGATATTGTTCACCATTAGTTCTTATTTGGGTTGGAACAATTCAATTTATGAAGTCATTTAAAATGATGTTTTAAAAACGTGGAACAGAGATAGGTACTTCATACAATGGCCCATAACTAAATAGAAAGTGAAGTGCAATGATATAAAATGACGCATATACGCATAGAACGAAGACAAAGGAGTTAGAGTGAAATGCCAACAAAGTAGGTGGTGGGATTATGTGGGATTTTCGTTTTATATAATTTTAGAAAATGTGTAAATATGAAGTTTCACTTATAGTCCATGAATTTTTGTTTGAATAAACTAGCAAGTTGATATTTTGGCCATATTCCTCAATTTTAAAAAGCAGTTTTATTTTGTCTTTATTTTATCTGTGTAGGATTTAAAAACCAAAAATCATTAAGTCACTAATGAACACCTGTGGTGTATAAAACAAGACATTTCTTAAAGATTTAACAGTGCTATTGCTGTTGGTTTTGTTGTTAAGTGCCGTGTAATTGGTTCTGAGCCATAGCAACCCTGTACAGGGTTTCCGAGGAGTGACTGGTAGGTTTGAACTGTTGACCTTGATGTTAGCTGTTCAGTGCTTATCCTATAGTGCCACACCACGAGTCTGTAACAGAGCTGGGAAACACCAATTGAGCAATTCCTATATCAGCCTCTATCCTGAGAGAGTTCTATGTTACTATTTCATTTAATTCTTACAACAGCCTTTTGAAATGAGTTCTTATATGGTTCCCATTTGACAGACAAGGAATCAGACACAAAGAGAGAGGGGGCTAGGATGAGTGGGTGAAAAAGCAAACATCTATAGCTTAGTCACTCACCTAGAGATACAGGGCCTACCTACAGCTCTGTCCTGTGGCCCTCCTGCTTACAGGAAGTGAAGAGTTAGTGTGGCGATCATTCTTACTTAATGCTTTCCTTTTTTAAATAGAAGAAAAATTAGATTTTCTGTATTTTATTAAAGCCTTTGCTTAGAAAGGAAGAAAGAATTCTGCTGTGCATATTATATATATATCAGATAATTTAATCCTCACAAAATCTCTTTATGTGTCATTAGAGCTGAATCCCATTTTATAAATCAGGCAGTAGAGAGATTAACTAATTTTATTCAAGATTACTAGTTAGAAAGGATT